GATGCAATGAAATGCTTATTGAAACTTGCTCAAATTCAAGAATTTTCTGAGGAGCTAATGGCTTTACAAAATAATAAACCCTTGAAATTAAGTAGCAAACTAATCAATTTAAACCCTTTTTTAAAGGATGGCCTTATTCGAGTGGGAGGCCGAATCAATAATTCTTCTTGTCAGGAGGATCAAAAGCATCCTATAATTTTACCTCAGAAACATACATTGACAGAATTGATTATTACACATTTCCATCATGAAAACTTGCACGCAGGGGTACAATGTCTTCTTGCTATAATAAGATTACAATACTGGCCACTTTCAGGCAGACAAGCTGTCAAACGAGTTTTGCGTAAATGTGTGCAATGTTTTAAGGCCAACCCTGTGCCCCTGACTCAGCTAATGGGAGATTTGCCCGCTGCAAGATTTGCTACTTCACGACCTTTTTTTAAGTGTGGGGTCGACTATGCAGGTCCATTCCTGATAAAGGACGGAACTTTGAGAAAATCAAAACTAGTGAAAGCATATATGTGCATTTTTGTATGTTTTTCGTCAAGAGCAGTTCATATTGAACTTGTTCCAGATCTGTCAACAGAGGCTTTTCTCAACGCATTCAAAAGATTCATTTCAAGGCGTGGAAAACCCTCTGATATATACTCTGACAATGGTACCAATTTTCAAGGTGCATCGAATGAATTGAAAGAACTCTACAAACTACTCAATGATCAATCTTATAACAATCAAATTTCAAATCTGTTGAGCAGAGAATCAATATCATGGCATTTTATTCCGGCACGATCGCCTCATATGGGGGGCCTGTGGGAGGCTGCTGTGCGTTCAGCAAAGTATCACTTGAAACGTATTGTTGGTAATAACAATTTTAATTTTGAACAAATGTATACTATACTGGTTCAGATTGAAGCATGTCTGAATTCTCGACCCTTGACCCCAATTTCCGATGATCCCAACGATTTTTCCTGCCTTACCCCTGGTCATTTCCTGATCGGCGATTCGATGTCCGCGATACCTCAACCCAATTTGCTTGAGATTAAGGAATCAAAACTCAACCAGTATCAACGTATACAACAAACACTCCAACACTTTTGGAAGCGGTGGTCGCGAGAAGTATTATCGCAACTACAAGAACGCAATAAATGGAAACGAGCTTTAAATGATTCCTTACAACCGGGGACATTAGTGATTATAAAGGATGATAATCTACCTCCATTAAAGTGGACCATGGGGCGAGTCACAGAAATTCATCCGGGTCCAGACACTCTAGTTCGAGTTGTGTCAGTTCGTATGCCAAACGGACCAGTTTTAAGACGGTCAATCACAAAAATTTGTGTGTTGCCCATCGAGGAGCAACTCAAAAAAAACTAAGGTCAATTTCGCTTCACACTCTTACCTAATAGTGTTTTTTTGTTTTGTTTTGTTAGACTTTACTATTATTTCTAAGTTCAAGTACGATTTTTTTTTGCGTTCATTATTAAAAGCCCAGGGACCTTTTAAGGCGGCCGGCTATGTTAAGTAAATTTCATAAATAAATCTAAGTTCGGTCCTGAAACTGTCAACCGTCAAGAAGGAAGCAGCCCGGACCATGAAAGAACGCCATTCCTGCTTATGTCAAGTCAAGGTAAGGCAGACGATTTTTTACTAGTACGATATTTCGAGTTTTAGAGCGAGTTTACGGTCCTTCGAATCAAAATCAAAATCATACAGTGTTGCCAAATTCTTTTCAGTTTATGAAATACAGGGTGATTTCGAAAAAAGGAGCGAAATTATTTCATCAATTATTTCGAAAACTATTAATATTCGAGACACAATTTAAATTTAAAAGTTTTATAATTTTTTTCGCTCCACAACATGGCATCTTCAAATTTTGAATTCGACCTTTCGTAGTTGGGCCACCATCATCAACTTAATTTTTTTAAATATGGACCTGGATTTTTTATGTCATTTTAGGAAAGTGCCTTTTATTCCCTCTCTAAAAATGACATAAAAAATCCAGGTCTGTATTTAAAAAAATGAACTCGATGATGATAGTTCGATCACGAAACGTCGGATTCAAAATTTGCTAAAAAGACGCCATGTTGTAGAGCAATAAAAATTATACAACTTTCAAACTTAAATTTTGTCTTCAATATCAATAGTTTTCGAAATAATTGATAAAATAATTTTGGGCGTTTTTTAGAAAACACCTAGTATTTCATAAACTAAAAGGAATTTGGCAACACTGTAAATAAGTTTTGAATGGGCATCAAACAAGGGCAAAAGTTATTGTGCATGAAACTATTTGCCAAAAAGCAAAATTATGCAAAAAATATTTGGATAGTTTAATCCATTTAAATTTATAGGTCGAGTGGTATACGGCTAGATTATTTCCTGAATAATTAGGATTGAATTGTTGGCGTCAATCCTATCAAGGAAAATGTCAGAATATTTCTATCAAAATTCTGTCAAAAAAGGTAAACAAAAATTTAATTGCTGATAAACAAGGTCTTGTGAAATAATCACTTATTTAAACAAAATTCATTCAAAAAATGACGTTGTCTGATGGGTCTATTTTATAATGAATGAAATAATCAATAGTAATATAACGAGTGCAATGGAAATTATTGATAATTTTTGGGAAATTTGCCCGAATGCATTTTTAGTTGAAAAAGAGCACGAGTGGAGTGCACATAGTGCACGAGTGCCTTTTTCAGTTAAAAACGCATAAGTGCAAATTTGTCGAAAATTATAAATATATTTCCATTGCACGAGTTGTATTTAATGAGAGAATTTCATAAATCAAAAATTTAAATTTTTTGTCAAAAAATGTCAAAACACCAGTTTTCGCACCACTTACTATGCAATTATCACGTAATTCCAATCTCATTGGTTCAAATCAACAATCAAAACATGTCAGTTTATTGTTGGAATACCAGTTTTGATAGATATATGAAATTCTCAGAATAATACCTATCTTTGGTGGAGCGATTGAATTCATCAAGCCATAGAGCAAATTCATTAATATTGGCATAAAAATCAGGTTAACGTAATGGTTGGTGTTGCAAAGCCAACTCTGTCAAATTTTTATTCAAATCTTACATGCGTTTAATGATAGATTCAGCAGCAGGTACCTTGACTTCCAGGATCTTCATTTCTAATCATATTTTTTTGACCTCCATGTGCATTTCGTTCTTCTATGCTACAAGACTCTGAAATTTTCATGAAACTAATAGAAATTTGTAAAAATCGAATAAATAATAACTCTTAGTTTACTACATATCATTTTTAATAATAAAAATGAGTACCAAATCACCATACAATTTTCATAATTACATTTAGAAGAAAACCTATTTTTATATATACATACAAGGTTATCCAACAAAAGTGCTTTCTACCTTATATACCTCTTAATTGAAGAGGTACAAAAAAATGTTAAACATAAAAGTTGTTGGGATTTTTATGAGGAATTTGGAGCATTTATTTAAAAAAAAATGGAAAGGCGGGTTTAGAAAATATAGCAAAAAATTTAACATTTCTTGCTTACTTTAAATGGATTGACACATTTTTGAATATGATTTTGGAGTCTACATTAAATTTGAGTCCCGATATACATGTATGTTACATATTCTATAGTAGAATTTAGCAATTTTTCCAAAATAAATTACGAAAAAAATGATATTTCATCGTTGAAAGCTGGTAAGAGTGGTGGTGGTAAGTTCCCGTTTAATCTTGCTTATTACTATTGTTTTTGATTATTATTTTTAAAATGAGTCCAATATTAGATCAAATACGCTAAATTTTGCTTTAATCTAGCTTCACCTGGTTCACCTTTTACTTAATTTACCTTGGTAAAAGATGAACCAGGTGAAGCTGGCTTAAAGTAAAATTTAGTGTATTTGATCTATTGGATACATTTTGAATATAATAATTAAAAACAATAGTAATAAGCAAGATTAGACGGGAACTTACCACTCTTATCAGCTTTCAACGATGAAATATCATTTTGTTCGTAATTTATTTTGGAAAATCATTGAGAGATATCTCCAAAATTGTTAAATTCTACTATAGGACATGTAACATATATCAGCGCTCAAATTTAATGTAGAATCCAAAAACATATTCAAAAATGGGTACTTCCATTTAAATTAAGCAAGAAATTTAACATTTTTGGCTATATTTTCTAAACCCGACTTACCATTTTTTTTAATAATAAATGCTCCTAATTCTTGATGAATATCCCAATTACTTTTATGTTTAACATTTTCTTGTATCTCTTCAATTAACAGGTATATAAGGGTAAAAGCACTTTTGTTGGATAACCCTGTACCGAGCCCTGTACATTGGAAACTACAAATTGAATATCAAAGAGAACAAATAACATATTTCAACTAAATATTTAAAAAACATTTATTTTGCTTTGGTTCATTCAAAACTGCAATATTTAATTTTAATATGAATTTCTACAAATTTATCACACTTAAAATCATTACAAAATTTTTAAATGCATGTATACATAAAAATGCATTTTTTTAGAAGTATCTGTGAACCTATAATTAATATTTAAATCATAATGGCTTTTGTAAATTAAATACATGTGTATTACTTAAATCAATAAATATTAACTGAGATAAAAATCCTAACATAACTCTATGGCTCGGTTTAGGTTCTGATTGGTCGAAAAATTATATTTGATTGAGTATAGTTATAGTCATTAGTATTGGCTGGCTATTTTTGATAAAGTTGGCATTTTTTGCATGCATCATAAATGTCTTCACTAATGATTTAAACTCTAGCTTTGAATATATTAAGCATGCAAATTAACCCAATAGAAAACTGGTACTGTCTCAATTTTGAACACAAATATGCAGTATGTTTTGGCCCTCATTGATCAAACAATGCTAACAATTTACCTGAAAGTAGAAATAAATACACATTTGTAAAATGACACACCAATCTAAAAGGTACGAGTTTTCTATTGAGGTACTTAGACTTATTTATACTAAACTTTGCTGGAGTAGGTAAACGTGCTAACCTAAAAGAAGACAGCTCGAGTGACGAAGAATTCAAACCGGGCGACGCATCCGACGCCAGCGACGAAAAACCGCGCGCTGTAGGCAAACGCAAGAGGGGTCGCCCAAAGAAGGGTTCCTCCGAAGAAGAAGAGCTGGCCTCGTCTTTGAGCGGTGGATCATCCGACGAAAGCGACGACGCGCCCAAATCGAAACGCAGGAAATCGGTGACGAAAAACAGCAAAGCCAAACCGAAGACTCCGTCGCGTAGAGGGCGACCGGCTAAGGCTGCTCCGCCTCGCAGCGCGGCTAAAAGAGGACGCAAACCCAAAAATGTTTCTTCCGAGGATGAAGAGGAGGATGAGAAAATGGAAGAGGGTAGTTCGTCAGAGGATGAACCTTTAGTTAAGAAGAAGGCTAAGGCTAGTGAGCCTCCCACTGTAAGTATTATTGGACAAAATACAGAATGTATTCTGAAAATTTTATGTAATTACAACATGGTTCCAATTTAAAGAGAAATTGCCTTGGTAGTTTTTTCAAAAATTTCAAATCTAGGGATTTAGTTTAGTTGCCACGCCAGAGTAGGAAAAGCTCTAAAATATTATGCACTATAGTATCATTGTTGGTGTCCTACTTTTTAGTTCTCCATCTATTCGGTTTTTGAACTCGTTTCCGCTGGAAGCAAGCATTGTATTGTCTGTCAATGCATTGATTTATCAAATACAAAAAAGGACCAATTTTAAAAATCCAAATTTATGCACGAAAATTCAATTTGTATATTCCTTGCTTGGAATTAGTTTAGTAGCTCCTCAGTTGAACTGATTTCAGATTACATTTAGCATAGTTTCTTAAAAATCTAATAATACATATTTTCTCCTAGGATGATGAAATAAAAGATTTTATTAAAAGCGTATTGGAAGGAGCTAATTTGGAAGAAATCACCATGAAGACTGTTTGTCAGCGAGTGTACGACAACTATCCCAAGTTTGACCTTACCGCTAGAAAAAACTTTATAAAATCAACTGTGAGATCAGTAAGTTTTTGATATTTTGTATTAATTCAGATTATTAATAATTAATTTTGTTTTTTTTTTCCTTTAGCTTATATCAACGTGAACTAACAAATACCTAGCCGTTTAAGTGTAATATTTGTTGATCAACGTCATCACTTGCATAATTTAGTACAAAATTCATATTTTGTCTCAATAAATATTTTTTGGTTACTTAAAACCCCATTTTTAATACACACATTTAAAGTTAGTGCATTATTACTATGTATTTGTAAAAATTACTTATGTAGGTTAATCCAAAATATGTTTAATGTTATTCACAGAGTCATTAATTTTTTTTATTTTAAGAGGTTTTTCAATGTAACGTAATTCTTGAGTGTAAATCTTTAATAATCTAGCACATTGTTTTAATATTATAGTTGTTGCTTTGGCAATTTATATTATATATATTATTTTATAATTGTTTATTTCTTTTGTTAATTCAAAAGACTTAATATTGATAAGCCTAATCTATTTGGGAAAAGTTCATTTATTGAAAAGTATTCTTCGAAAAAATCTGGCGATGCCATTAATCTACTAGAACTGGGATGTTCTTTTTTACATTTTTAATGACGGTTCATCCATTAAAAGAAGCGTAATAAATAGTGAAATAATATGACACTTACATTATTATAATGACACTATAATTGCTTCGATTTTATTAAAAAGGAATAATATTAAGAACTCAGTGAAGAAAATTGCGGATATTCCACTATGTAAACAAGAATCATCCTCACTTTAGATTTGGACTTCACCAAAAATTATTACAAGTATGTATAGTGTATATTAACTGTGTTAGATTTTAAAGATTGATCAATATTTGCCCATGTAACAATAATTGTAATTTTTTTAAAAGAAATTTCGACTAAAAAAGCACACAAAAAAAAATTTACAAAGTCTATTTTTACTATTTCTGATTAAAAAAAAAAAAATTAGAGTTTCCTAATTTTTGGTTTTTTTTTACGGAATTTCCTGTTAGCTTAATACATAATTAAGTAAAAATAGAGCTTGGGTGTCTCAAAAAAAAAACTTCTATGCGTTGTAGTCTTAGACTCGCTGTAACAATTGTATTGGTTCCAAAATACAATTTTTATCAAGTAAACAAATGTTTTTTTTCCATGTCCATCATTTTTCCTCTTTCGAAATTTTAGTGTATGAATTTCAACTTATTTATTTTTCCATCAGGTTATTACAGAAGCTTTGCCTTATGATTTAGATTTTGGAAAACTTTGAAAGGTAATAACTTTTCTTCTATTAAGGATAGAAAGCTGAAAGCTATATTAGAAATAGAAAGCGGAAAGCGGTGCCTTTTTTCATAGAATCCGGCTCCAAATCTCTGAATAATTTAGTGTATGGAGTTCGGGTGAGCCCGAAGGACCATTAGGACACAAAATCTCAAGGAAAAAATTTTTGAAATTTTATCGTTTTAGTAAAAGGTAGCTACCTGATGATTTCGTATGGTTCTACATTCATATACCGATCGAGTGTACACCACTGGTATTGTTCTGTTTTTGACTAACCCCTCAACCTTTCCATGTTAGTATGAATTCAATCCTATGTACAGGGTGTTTCCTTATGTTTTGACTCCTACCTACAGCTTTAGCTTTACGAGGTGGAAAAAAACTTTATTTACGACTAATGTATAATATATGTCCAGGAGTATACAAATGTAGCAATGTGTTTTAAGTGTTGTTTATTTGGCCATGTTGCCAAACACTGCTCGGCCGATGATTGTTGTCATAAATGTGGTGGTATCCATAATAGTAGTCAGTGTTCTGCAGATGCTCTTAATTGTCCTAATTGTAAGAGGTCAAACTTACCCCAAGGCAATCATTCCGCCCGAAATTCGTCGTGTCCTGTATATATGCAAAGAATCAGAAGACTTCAGCAACAAACAAATTACTTGACCCCAGAAAATTTTTTAGCAGAGAGGTGAACGATAATGGGCAACTGAGCGCAGTTAATGATGATAAGGTTTCTACCGAAGAAGAAATAGCTTTCACTGTTGTGTATCAATATGTGCGTGGACTTAATAGTAAAACAGTGGACTTTTTTCATTCAGTGATATTAACTGAAAATGAATATGATGCAATTGCTCTAAGCGAAACATGGTTGACTAACAGTGTGTATGATAGTGAATTGTTCCCAGGGTCCTTTACCATTTTTAAATGTCGAAACAGGGAAGATAATATGCGTGGTGGTGGTGTCTTACTGGCAGTCAAAAAAACCTACAAAACTTGTAAATTGAATTTAGATTTTGATGTGCCATGCATAGATTTGTTATGGGCTAAAGTCTTTGTAGATGATGTTAACTTCATTTATATATTGGTGGTTTATATTTCAACTAGTTGTGGTCTACTATTGATTATATATGTTCAAACATGGAAAATGTAAAGTGTTCTGTTTCTGGCGCCATTCTGTCTGATCATGAAGTGGTGAGCTGCACGTTTGCAGGTATCGGTGTTGAAGTTGGGAATAAGCGACGTCTTGGCAGAATTTTTAACCGAGCAAGTTTTAACAATTTTTATGTCTACTGTCTTGACGTGAAGTGGCGGGATCTAAGTCAGTCTCTGGAACCTTTTGGGTCATTTTATACTGTTGTGATTGACCTATTCAATAGAGCGTTTCCTCTTAAGTTAATTAAATCTAAGACTAAAAGGCAAAAACCATGGCTTACAAGGGGTATAAAGGTGTCAGCAGCCAACCTTCGCTCTCTCAATTATATAAAAAAAATTTTTGGAAACAATCACTTTTTTAGCTTATATTGCAGTAAATATCGTAAAATATATCGTAAACTGATTGCAACTGCTAAAAAGGAATATTATACCAGGAGACTTTCAAGAGCCAAAAATAGTCAAAGAGAGGGCTGGTCTATAATCAATGACTTGTGCAATCGACAGAGGCATGGTTCTGATGAAATTGCTGTCGATGCAGAGACCTTGAATACATTTTATTGTGCCATGGCGGGCATCTTGACACAAAATATACCAATGAGTAATGATCCAATTTCTTACCTTGATGACCTATCTTTTCCAGATTCGTTTTATTTTTTTCCAACGGATATCAATGAGGTTAAAGAGGCTCTTTGTGACATCAAGAAGAGGAAATCCGCGGGTGACGACGGAATTTCTGTTGAGGTACTTTTTAAGTTACCTGAATGTGCTCTGGAAGGTTTTGCTGATGCAATAAATGATTCATGGACAAGGGGCGTGTTTCCTTCATTTCTAAAATCAGCAATAGTGATTCCCTTGCATAAGGGTGGCGATCATCAAGAGCCATCTAACTATCGACCAATTAGTTTGCTGTCTACTGTTTCAAAAGTTTTTGAAAAAATTGTAAAAAAAAGGGTTTGGCACTACCTCCAGGCGAATAATATAATTACTCTAAAGCAATTTGGATTTCGAAGCTCCAAAGGTACTCATGATGCCATGTTCAATTTTTTGGAAACTGTTTACCACCACATTAATAAAGGAGATGCTGCGGCAGCGGTTTTCTGTGATCTCTCCAAGGCCTTCGACTGTGTGGATCATGGAATTCTTCTGTCAAAGCTTGAGCGTTACGGCTTTAGGGGATCTTCACTCGCATGGTTTCATTCTTATCTAAATTGTCGGAGCCAATCTGTGATCGCATCGGGGGTAAGATCGTCGGCGAGAGTTGTTGGGTGCGGTGTTCCCCAGGGGTCTGTCTTGGGACCACTGCTGTTTTTAATATATATAAATGATCTTGTCGGGGTGCGGATATCGGGCCAATTCACCATTTTTGCCGACGATACATCAATTGTATGGCGCAATAAAAATGTGGAACAACTTAAACAGGACATCGCATCTGACCTTATCATAATCAAACAGTGGTGTGATTCTAACCGCCTCTGTTTTAATGTCAATAAAACTAATGTTGTTGGGTTTGGATGTGACATGACGGGTTTGAATCTGGGAGGAAATCGTCTCGAGGACCAGCCCTGTACAAAATTTTTGGGTTTATTTGTCGATGGTGGGTTACGTTTTGAGGACCATATAATTGGGCTTAGCAGGAAACTGTCATCGGGATGCTTTGCGATTAGAATTGCACACAGGGAGCTTGGTTCGGCTGTGGCTCGAATGGTCTACTTTGCACTGTTTGAGTCTCATCTGAGGTATGGGATTCCCTTCTGGGGTGCAAGTAGTCAATATCTTCTAAACATATTGTTTATTCTGCAGAAGAAAGCAGTACGCTTTATAACAAACATTGGCCGAAGGGACTCTTGTAGACCCCATTTCCGGTCGCAGAATATCCTGACATTATACTCTTTGTTTATCCTTGAGACGGCCTCACTGATTTATAAGAACAGACTGAGCATCCAGTTTCAGGGTGTAACTACGCCTTATAGCACTCGGCATTCAGCTGATCTGCCTCTGCCGATTCCAACAAAAGAACTGACCAAAAGGTCACTTATTTATAATGGCAGAAAAATTTTCAACCATCTGCCAATTCACGTTAAGACTGCCAATAGTGTAAAGTGCTTTAGACGGTTACTTAAGGGCATTCTACTGGCTAAGGCATATTATACCCTGGAAGAATTTTTTACAGACAACTTTATGTGAGATATGAGACTTTTTTTTATCACTATATGTTATTTGCTTATTTTTTTATTTTAATTTTTTTTTTGTATTTTGTATTTTTATAGTACTTGTTCTTTTACCTTTTTAGTTTTACTGATTTACATTTTGTCCTTTTGGTTTTGATGTTTTTTAGCTTTAGCAACAAATTTTTGTGTTATAATTTTATTGTAATTTAGGAAATGTATAATATCATGCTTTGTCAACAGAAATTTGATTTTCTTGGACAATAAAGTATTTTTTGATTTGATTTGATTTGATATTAGAGAGAGAGCATCTATTCTCATATATTGAAAATCAAGAATGTATTTACCAGAAAAAAATCATATTGGTGGGAGATCTTAATATTAGTCACTTGAACGATTATTATTTGGGTAACTTCAGGGATCAACAGATAAATATGTTCCTGAATTTTCTCCAATTTTTTGATTGCCACCAGATGAATCGGGTACTAAATGGTAATAACCGCTTACTTGATGTTGTTGTTACTAATAGTAAATGTAGGGTATATGAAAGTACTTTCAGTTTTGTTGACATTGATACACACCATCTTCCACTTATGATAGAAATTCAGTTTAAAACCCCTAGACAAAGAAATTTGACAGGGAATGGGAATAGTCACTCCCAAAATTACAACTTCAGGAAAGCTGATTTCGACGCTATGTACCAATTGTTTCACAATGCTTCCTGGAATGACCTGGAATCTCTTGATGATGTCAATATGGCTGTTAAGCATTTCTATGATAAAATATATAATATTTTTGACATTTGTGTTCCAAAAAGAAAAAATTGCTCAAAGATATATCCTGTATACTTTACAAAACATATTATTAAAGATATAAAGAGTAAAGAGAAGTTGAGAACTAAGATTAAGAGGACAAAAAATATAGAAACATATAATCAATTTATTCAATTAAGAAACAAGATAAAAAACGACATAAAGAAAGCACACAAAGATTATTTGATTGAAGTTCAGCAAGACATCAGCCAGGATTCAAGGTCATTTTGGCGATATGTGAATAACAAAAAGAGTGTTGTTGGTATACCTAACACAATGCATCTAAATAATTTGCAACTTGTTGATGGTAAATCAATATCAAATGCGTTTGCTGCATATTTCAGTTCAGTCTATGCCAACGATCCTGAACACTCTGACATTCATGATGCACTGGATGACTGTCAGGTTTTTGATGCTTTGTGTTTGGACCAAATCGAATATGAGGATGTTTGTGATGCTGTCAGGAGCCTTAAAGTTAACAAAGCAGTTGGTCCGGATAATGTGCCATCATTTGTTTTTAAGGGAATGATCGGTTTTTTGGCAGAGCCACTTAGGATTTTGTTCAATCTTTCACTGAAAACAAACACTTTTCCTCACGCATGGAAAGAGGCAAGGATTTGTCCTATATTTAAAAAAGGTGATAGCACGGATGTGAAAAATTATAGGCCTATATCACTGTTGTCGTGCCCGGCCAAAATATTTGAGTCCATCTTATATAAGTTTATATACAATTTTGTAAAAAACAAGATATCAGCCAGACAACATGGTTTCTTAAGTAAGCAATCTACGGCTAGTAATTTGTGTGAGATGACTCAGTATATTGCTGAGAGCCTTGATGGAAGATGCCAGGTCGACGTAATATACACAGATTTTGCCAAGGCTTTTGACAGAATATCGCATAGCATCCTTATACAAAAGCTGTGCAATGAGTTTGGTTTTCATGACACTCTGGTGGCTTTTTTTGAGTCATATTTATATAATAGATCACAGCGGGTTGTTGTCAGGGGTTACTACTCCAATTATTTTTGTGCAACTTCAGGTATCCCGCAGGGCTCCAACCTCGGACCATTACTCTTTCTATTGTATATAAATAATTTGGTTGATGAAATTAGTGGTACAGAAGTATTATTGTTTGCAGATGACCTAAAACTATATTCAAGAGTTAACAACTACAATGACTGTCAGTATGTTCAGAAAAATTTGGACAAAATATGTCTATGGTCAATTAAAAATAAATTACAATTTAATATTGACAAATGTTTTGTGCTTAGTTTTAGTAGAAGAAAAACGCATTTTAACTATGAGTATACAATGAACAAGAGGGCACTGGCTAGGGTTGCAGAAATGCGGGATCTTGGAGTAATATTTGACACCCAGCTTACATTCAGAAGTCATATAAATGACATAACAAGTAGGGCATCTAAAATGTATGGATTTATTGTCAGAAATTGCAAAGAGCTCAATATATTGTGTGTTGAAACTTTGTATTTTTCATATGTGAGGACTATATTAGAATATTGTTCTATAATATGGAGCCCGTGTTATGAGAATCATAAATATAGTATTGAAAAAATTCAAAATAAATTTTTGAGATATTTACACTACAAGGAAACAGGGCGGTACGAAATGCATATACCAAAATTAGAAATCATGAAAGCTCATAATATACAAACGCTTGAAGGCAGGAGGAAATTTTCTACAATTATATTTCTTTATAAAATATTAAATAACATGATAAATGCTCCTTATTTGTTGAACCAAATTAAATTTTATACTCCGACATATAGAACACGAAATCCTTTGAGCTTATATACTGATAATACTCGAACTAATTACTACAACAACTCGCCTGTTATTGTAATATGTAAATTATACAACCAAATGCGCCTACAATTTGATATGTGGAATTTAAGTTCTGATATATTTGTACAAATGTAGATTTTAATGTTAAGTTACTCTCTCGATGACTCTTTACTTTATATTTTTGCTTCCACTTAGGTTAGTCTTCTACCCTACTCTGTAACTGGATGTAAATCTGTAGAGTTTGTAATGAATAAATAAATAAATAAATAAATAAATAAATAATGTAAGTATTATACTTGTGATTTTGGCAGTATAATGACATATGTTATTCCCCCCGGGAATAATGACGAGTAGCGGGATTAATGGGTCATTATTCCTCAAAGGGTCAGTGTCAAACATGTAGTACTTGTGGATTTGTATTGAGAATTGAGATGGATGAAATTTGTTCATTAAAATTCTCAAATAAATTAATTTGTCGTAAATAAAGTAGAGTATACTACTCGCAATAATGGCTATTATTCCCTTGGAATGTTACTCCCTCGCCGCTAACGCGGCTCAGTTCGTAAATATTCCTCGGGAATAATAGCTATCATTAGGCCTGTTCGCACAGGAATCACAAACCAGTCAGAGCGAATTTCATTGGTTGGAAACAGTCAGAAACAGTCAGAAAACTAGTTTCAACCAATGAAATTCGCTCTGACTGGTTGGTGATTTCTGTGCGAACAGGCCTATTATTGACTCGTGGTATAATCTACTATTAAATATGAAAGTTATAGGGTTTTATGTCTATTATCTTTTGCGAATGTTAAAATGGGCAAATGACAGGTGCCAACTGTCACAATGACATATACTAGCATTTTTCAAATGGAACACCCTATATATTTTTGACTAGAATGATAGATTTTTTTCTTCTGATTTCAAATATACCATGTATGTTGATATTTGGTTCAGCTGTTTTTACGCTATTCAAGTTTGAAAATGCATTTAAATTACCCTTAATTTAATCTGTCTGGTTTCTTATGATGAGGCTTGCTCAATGCATTTTTAAAATTAAATAGCGCAAAAACAACTGAACCAAATATCAACATATATGGTATATTTGGAATCAGAAGAAAAAAAGCTATCATTCTAGCCAAAAATATACAGGGTGTTTCATTTGAAAAATGCAAGTGTTTATCATTGTAACAGTTGGCACCTTTCATTTGCCGGTTTTGACATTCGCAAAAGATAATAGACATAAAATCCTACAACTTCCATATTTGAAGTTTTTTTCCACCTCGTATAGCTAAAGCTGTAGGTAGGGGTCACAATATTAGGAAATACCCTGTACAGATTTGGAATAATCATATAGTTTCTTGCAGTATCACTTCATGTTTGAATAGAGTCATCAACGCTCAACAGACAATGATAATTTTCAATAATATGGTTTACTTTACTCAGAATATAGACGCTGAACTGAATAAAATTTGTCCAGTCTTGGTCGTGACCAACAAATTTGTTGGGATTATTAGGGTCGGGACAATACGCACTACTGCCAAAGCTCAAGTCATTAAAAGACAAATTTGCGAAATAAAACACTTAACTAATTAGAGTTTATTATACATTCAAAATATCTACGCTAAAACAGCCATTTTATCAACGTCTTCAAAAATATAATTCATTTAAAAAAAATAATAAAAAGCGACTCTATAATACTTAAAAAATAATACTTGTCTCAAAAAATTGAGATTATTTTTCCATATTATAATATGTACACATCTATGTCATATGTGGCAAAAACTTATTGTAAACTTACAATAATTTAATCTTAAAACTTATTTTTATAAATATTATGTATTTACAATAATATAGCACAAAACATTCATTAAAGATAAAATGTCTTTTGGTGAGTAAATTGGAATGTCATACTTGAGGAAGAATTCTCATTTTAAAAACTACACATTTGACGTATTTCCACCACTGCTACCATTTTGCTTCAGTCGGCAATTATTGTTGTAACATTGCGAAGGGTTGTTTTCTGAATTCTGTAACAAGGGCGTAGGTTGGGCCATAGGCATGTCGTCTCTCAGTGAGTATTTTTGAGCTCTTTTCTTAAAAAAACCACATCTAAAATCAAAAATTTAATATTTTATATACGTACCTACGAAGAGTATAATGAATTTAAATGAATTTTGCATTGTAAAACATATATTATTCATAAAGGATTGTTTTAGAGGTCAGCTAATAAATGAGTGACTTAACGACCTTTCTACTACATCTAGTAGAATATTTTTTTGTATAGGATTGTCTTTTATGATACCTACACAGTGTAGTGTTTTCCCCATACATACTATATAGGTACCATACTATTGTTGTAATGAAATTGATCATCTATATTATTTTAATAAGGACATTTATTTTATATCAGGTATCCTCTATCCTAAATAATGGTTCGGTTTGGCATCAAAGAAAGGTATAAATTTATTATATTGTCTAGACCTTTTCCAGCAAGAAGGGTGTGAATTGTTAGTATTAAATTGTAAACCCTGCAGACTTTATGTGAGCAAAAAATACTGTTTCTAATTATTTTAAATAAAATAAACATTGTCCATCATAAACACCCAAACCTTTCCAAGTATCCCGAAGGATATGTCGCCGACCTTTATTGAGGGTTTTTCTTAGATTAGTAGGTAATAGATTTTATAGTAATAGATTTTTAGAAGGGATGTCGAAAGAGGATTTTGGGAAGAGAGGGCAGTCAAGACACAACTTTCAGTCAGAAGACAGCTTTGGTTACACAACACAGACATTTTTGTAAGACTCTCTCCTCAAACAACTGCGTATCATTCTATAATAAAAGTATTTTAAACAGAAGTTATACGGTATTGTTTCATTACGGTCAGTATTATTACGGTCGGTATTGTGATCATCACATTAGTTACATTGTGGGATCATAACACAGTTTGATACATAAACCTTGTTTAGAAAGAATCACTTCAGTGGTCATCATGTCAACATAATTAATTCAGTATAAACATATCAACTCACCTAGACACTATCATGTAGAGATCCCTTCGATACTGCGCAGTCATAAGTGCATATAAATAAGGATTTGCGCATGCATTCAAGGGATAGAAAAATACCAACAAAATTTTCGATTTGGTTATATTAATTAATGGATATCCTACTAGGGCGCACAGCCCGAAAAACGCCACTGGAGTGTATGTAGCAAAATCTGAAAAAATCAATTGAAAGTTTCAATTTTAATTATGATTAGGTATACTTACCAACGAATATAAGTAAGGCCATTTTTTTGGCGATAGTCATTTCGCCCTTGTGACTAGCCCTCCTTGTTTCGTATCCCAAACTAAAGTAGATTTGAGCGTAGCAAAATACTATCAGTCCCAAAGAAAAGCCATTGATTATAAATATGCTGTAGAGATAGGCTTTGTCGAATATAGATTTTACTTCCATTGGCAGGCATATACTGTAAAAAAAAAATGGAAATTTGATTAGTTTATTTTCATGGATAACGACCGTTAATAATAAATTGATAGTGTTTGAATAATTGAGAAATGGTCTTAATTTTTTATTTTTTCTCTTTTACAAAACCTAGCTTTCGGAGCTTTTTTCTTCTTCTGAGCTTATGATTTTTAAGTTTCTCAATAGGAACATCAAAAAAAGAAAGGAACTAAATCATCCGGCGACATTGGAAAACAATTCGAAACATCTGTGCAACATATTATTTCCGCTACAGAACTAAAGCAGGCTCAACAGTCCCAAAAATAGCGTAAAGAAACCTAAAAAAGGGGCGTGGCACCCAAAAATTTCGCGCTTTGCTTCTGACAGCGGTCGCGGCGGGGCCGCCAGAAACACTTCCTGCAAATTTGCCCTCCCCCAAGACAAAATCCTGGCTACGCCAGTGCGCAAAGCTACCGCAAGCGGACAACGCATCATTGTGGTACACAGTCACATAGATGGTTCAAACGGAAGGATTTGGTCTGGGAATAACTGGACCAAACTTCAAAGTTTAAACTGTCCTTAGCAATGGGTAAAACGGCGTCAAAATTTCAAGCTGAGGTACTGAGAGTGCCTTAAAAGAGGCCTTTTAAGAGAGCGGATAGTGTAAATGTCATACTGTCCGACAGTCAAGCGGCTATAAGAGCCCATCGAGTGCAATTCTTAGCTAGTTTGGGAGGGTAAAAATATCCTTAAGCAACTGGCTGGGATTGCTGGGAGGAATAAAGTACTAACCCTGATGTGGGTACCAGGACACCAGGGCATAGAGGGCAACGAGGAGGCAGACCGTCTCACAAAGCAAGACGCTTCAACACCTTTTCAAGGCCCAGAGCCTTTTTGTGGACTAACCACGTCTCCAAAGAAATGAACAGATGAAGAAGGTTCATATCCATCTCAGCAAGGAGATCTGAACAACTTCTTGACATGAACAGGAGAGACATTAGAATAGTCGTTGGTCTGCTCACTGGGCATTACCTGGTGAAATATCACCTAAAAACAATAGGCAAATCAGACAACGACCACTGCAGATCTTGCGAACAAGCAACGAAAACTACAGAACACTTAATCTGTGAATTCCCTGCTCACTTCTGCAAAAGGCTGCAAGGGTACTTTACCACCCAGAAAGCTGACCTCCTTTGGGAGAAGCCTACAAATCTTGAGCACTAAAGCGGCTGGAACAAGCGGTAACGACTCCTAACAATCTTCAAAAAAAACGGGAAATAAGAATAGTCGAAAATAATTTTTAGTAAAATAGCAAACATATATCTGCTCTGGAGCGGATGCCTTTTGTAAGGAGTAAATGCTTCCAATTTGAAGCAAATACTCTCTTTTATTCATAATAAAAAAAAGTATGTGCTTTTTCCTGGAGCATTTTGCTTCCGACTTTTCAGTAAAGGGTCTTGCTTGAACTTTTATTCATTCTGAATGAAGCATTTGCTCCAGATTTTGGAAGAAAAAGCAAATTCTCTTTGATAGGGTGGATTAAGTAATTATGTATTTTTGTCAACAACAATAATAAAAAATTGAAAAACAACATGAAAATTTCACTCGTAAATCGTTAACTAAACATCTGGCAACATAGCACAACACACGCACACACTTGATTATTGTCCTATGTCAGTTAGTTGAAGCATTGGAAACGCGCATTCTTTTTTGAAAATAAAATGTTTACAAACGTCGAATATGCAGATACTGTAACAAAATCAATAACATATTCTCGGTTCAAATGCATTATTCGTGGGAAAAGTTTTATTTTTATAGATAGCTAAAATGTGACCCTATGATAAAATATACAAACACATGGAGTTCTGCGAAAGGTCTAATCTGTTCGAGGGTAAAAAACACTTAAAAGCCAGAGAAAAGTATCGAATTTTATAGCTTCAAGGTTATTATTGCTGTAATCCAAAATTGACAAATATATAGGCAAAATTTATGTTTTCCGAGATAAACACTAAACTTTAAACTAACCTCTCGACTAAACCAGACCCATGTGGTTGTAATAATTTATTCAAAGTCAAGAATAATCTCTGACCCACGTTTTATAACGAACCCAGATGTCAGAATGATATATTATATTCGAAGCATAATGTGTGTGCGTAGAGAAACAATAATATAAATAAATATAATTATCAAGGGTTATTACTATAAGTCAAATGCTTAGTTATAATCAAGATAGGTAGATTAAGATAGGAGTGATTACTCAATTATTTTATTATTATATTAGTAGAGATTTTAATTCATTAGAGAGTTTAGATTATTTCACACCCTTGTTAATTAGGTTAGAATTTATGGAACTTTTATTCTATATATTTAATTGGGATAGAAATTAGGAAACCTTTATTTTCTACATTCAATTAAAAGGGAAAACAGTAAATGTTCAATTAATAATTTGACAACATGTAAATAGCAAACTCTATTGGAGAGCCATCAAACTGGATCACAGGGTTGAGCACTTTGGATAGGGAAGGTTGGATAAACTTGAAAACCAATAGAAACGCGGCAAAAAAACCAAGGGGTATTTTCAGCGAATCGCTGAAGGCTAAGAGGGTGGAGACCCTCGAATCTCGCAAGCCTGGTACTGAGAGGAGCCAATGGACTTCTAAAGTGGTACCCAGATGTATAGGCCACATAAGTTCAGTTATCGCCAATTCGCCACTAGATTTTACCACGAGTAATCGCCGGAAAATTAAGTCGTAAAGTCTCAACGAGTTCTCGATCAGTTCCTCATCCGCTAGTTCATCTGCCGCCCGCGGTGTTTTAGTGAAAGCTCTCCAAGAATTTTTTTAAATTTCAATTTCCAATAAAGTCTCAGATTTTGAACTAAATCTTTTAATTGAGAAATTATTCAATTTTCTTTCAATTGTCTTAATTTTTCTTCAGTTGAAAATTGTTGATGTTCTATTAATTAAATAAGGTATTTTAATTTTTTTTAATATTTTACCTTACCTTTTTTTATCTTTGAATAATTAACTTTTCTTTTCACTCTTGAATAAATTATTTTAATCTTTCAAAATTAGTCTTTTTTTTCTGGTTTTAAAATACCCATTAAAACACTGGTGGTGGCGTAAAAAAGATCTTACGTGCCGGTTTGTGCGGTTTGAGAAGGTGTTTCCAGCTTCAGCAGAAAAGTGGTAAATGGTACTAATTTTGAGTCTCTATAAAAAACCTTTCAATAACCACTCCAAGAAGAGAAGAAAGAAGACTTCGTTCAGATTGCCTCCGGTTCCGAAAACTGTTATTTACTGCTTCAGATCAAATTTACTCTTCAGCATAATTTACCCCGAAATTTTAAGATGTGACAGAATTATTCACGCTACCAAAATATCAATACATAACATCTCAATTTTGTCACAATACTTGTTTAGGCAGAATCGTTGAAAAATGCCCATTTAGCCACAAGAATTTACAGGGGAAGATTTCCCAAGAGCACCCACCTGATGAAAGAACATTGTGCCGGTTTTACAAAGATTGCGTGATACGGGAAGTGTGAGTGTGCAAAATCTGCTTGCTGATTTAAGTGTTTTAAGAACCTTTTAACAAAAATTTATATTTTCATAATCGAATTTCATTGGTTGAAAACAGTCAGAAACAGTCAGGAAACTAGTTTTAACCAATGAAATTCACTCTGACTGGTTTGTGATAAATAGACCTAATAACAAACCAAAACGTAAACAGATGGAAATAAATAAACTCCTTAGAAAAAAACCTTCAAATTTACCAGTTTTTCGCTAAATCGGGTACAAGGCTCATTAATCAAATCGGTTCTCACCCATTTATCTCCATTCCACGCTTCAACTTGCACTGTAATTGTTCCTTTCACATAAACCAATATGTCCCATTTCCCACTTGAACTTTTTTTTCTGGAGGCTGAAGGCTTTTCATTTATTTCCAGAAACTGGTTTTCGTCAAAACAAATTATGCTCAGTAACACTGCAATTATTGGAATTTTCATTGTTCTGGCCTAGCATTGCCATAAGATCATGATAATTCAAAATTACACTTGATGTTGATTCACCAACTAATGATCACTATGTTCTCTGTCATTTTACTTTTTTAATCATATTGCCTGTTCTATTCCACCTGTGCACAGGGCCGTAGCTAGAGTCAAATTTAAGATAGGGCATGCTAAATTTGACATGGCATACTCTACTTGCCCCTCGCCACCTTAAATTTTTTTTATAGGTGAACGAAATGGGGCTAATGGCGCCGATGGCAAATTTTTCAATAAATCAAGGTTCAGGTCGTATGGTATAATGGGTAAGAATCGTGAACTTTACAGGATTGCTCAATCGGCTAAATTTGCTCACAAGTGCTGTGACATCACGTCACGTGCATACCTGACTTTCAAGATGGCCGCCGATACAAATGATAGTTGAGTTTGCGCTGAGAATTATTTTATCGTAAATTCGAAGTTTATCAAATGTTATAAGTGTAATTTAAAGTTTCATTTGATGTGTGTAAGCATAAAAGACTCATGGCTGGAAATAATCGCGCCCCAAAAATTTTCTGGTTTTAGTGGTTTTGTAATACCGGATTTGTTGCATCAGGACATAGCTTTCTTTAATTCGTGTGTATTGCTTAGTTTTCTACTGCTAGTATTTCCTAGTCAAGTAATTATTTGTATTGTTTTTTTTTTTGTAAATCAAATAACTATACTTAGTTGTAAGTTTCCTTTGCATGTAATTACTTACTCTTACTATAAATTAGTGTTTGTGAAGAGTAAATAAATGAATAAATATGTAAATAAATTCCTTTACTGGCGCGTTTACTATGGAAAACTTGCAGTGTTTTTCTGGATTCTGATTAGGAAAATATAAATTAGGTATCACTATTTGGCTTTGTGAGATAAGCTTTGAATGTCCATAAAAAATGTATCTGCATTCAGTTTGTCCTTTCTTTTACAAAAAACTATCCACTTGTTTTGAATAGTTTTAGATACAAGATCTTTTCCTTTAAGAAAGCGATGAA